CGGGACTTTGCTGTGTTCCTTGACCGATGGGGAGTCCGGCATGTGTTGTCATCGCCCCATTACCCGCAGTCCAACGGCCACGCTGAGGCTGCTGTCAAATCCCTGAAGCACCTCATCCTTAAGGTGGCCCCTTCTGGGAACATTGACTGCGAGGCCTTCGACCGGGGTCTTCTTGAACTCCGCAACACACCTAACTACACCGGACGCTCCCCTGCCCAGGTTTTGTATGGACGCCCCCTTCGTTCTTGTGTCCCTGCTCACCCTCAATCCTTCTCCAAGGAGTGGCAGGCCAAGACAGAGGATTGTGATCGCCGAGCCGCCGAACGTGTTCAGGACGTCGTCGCCCGCTACAACGACCACGCCCGTTCTCTCCCCAGGTTGAGTGTCGGCACCCAAGTCCGTGTTCAGGACCCGACCTCCCTACGTTGGGACAAAGTAGGCGTAGTCATGGGTCTCGGCAGGTCACGGGACTACCAGGTGCGGTTACCCAGTGGTCGTGTGTGGTGGAGGAACCGCCGTTTTCTCCGCCCCGTAACAATGCCTTCTGGTGGCCCCGCCACCAGTGTTGAGTCCCATACCCTTCCCAGTGATGAAGTACCTCGACGCTCAGAACGGATCCAAAAGAAACGGTCCGCTCAAGACTTTGCTATGAGCGTATAGGGGGGAGGGAGGTGTATGTATATTATGTATGCTGGATTATATATTATGTATGTATATTATGTATGTGCTCCATTTATGTATTATTTATTCAGCCTAGCTAGCAGCGTGTGGCAATGTTATTACCATATCCCACATGCTTAATTAATGTGCCTGGCGACGTATGGAAGCTGCTAATGTATCACTTGCCATACGTCGTCTATAGCAGTTGACAAGGAGCCTAGCTAGGGAGCACTACTCCCCTTGTGTACATCTCTCTCTGATCCAGTAAACCGAACCTACAAAACTATACAGGTGTTTGTGTTCTCTCCTGTATATAGAACTTATTATCCAGAACCTAACACTGATAAGAAGTTGAGAGAAAGTAGTAAGCGGAAGATATAAAAAATATAGACTAACACTGAAAGAAATAAACAATAAGTAAGAAAGGTAAAATATAGAAATTGAATAGATAAGTACACTGAAATAAAGACAGAAAAATCTAGAAAAAAATATCAACTTAGAAAACACAAGCTGAGAAATAACAGAAAAATCTAGAAAAGAATATAATACAGTATAACATTGAGGAAATTAAAGAAGGATATATCAGACAGAAATAACATAGAAAATGCAAACAGAAACACATAGAGAAACCAAGATGATATATAATAAGACAAAAAAAAGAAACAGAAAATACAATAATATAAATAGACAATATAAGATAGATACATATAGACAGAAAGACTTAGAAAATAAAATTATTTATACATATACAAGAAAAGATAACTCCTCAAATCTCTCTTACACAGATCTACAATGAACAAGAATTAACAACTGTTGTCAACCCCCCCCCCCCCCATTACAGGGTGACACGGAGTATCAAACTTACCTGTGAACAGGATGGTATTGTGGCTGAATGCGAGGTCGGGGCAGCTCAGACGCTTCCTGCCAACGCTCACAACCCTCTGTATTGCCACTTACACAGATAAAGAACTTAAGAACATAAGAAAATAAGGAGTCTGCAATAGGCCGGTTGGCCTGTGCATGGCAGCTCCTGTCGAGAGTTACTACCACTCTCTGTCATCCATGAATCTATCTAGCCTCCTTTTAAAACTTTCCAGCGTTCCAGCACTTACTTCAAAGTTGCTAAGCTTGTTCCACTCGTCCACCACCCTATTTGCGAACCAGTTCCTTCCTATCTCCCTCCTAAACCTAAACTCATCCAATTTAAATCCGTTGCTACGAGTCCTATCCTGCTCGGATATTATAAGAACTTTATCTATATCTCCTTTACTGATTCTTTTCATCCACTTAAATACTTCTATCATATCTCCCCGTACTCATCGTCTTTCTAGGGAATGCAAGTTTAGTTTCTTTAACCTACCGTCATTCTTCGCTGCACCGACTCCAGTGAATTGATATCCATTCTATAATAAAGGCACGAGAACTGAACCGCATAATCGAGGTGCGGCCTGACTAGCGCAAAATATAGTTGCAATAAGACCTCTACACTCTTATTACTTACACTTCTAAATATAAAACCTAGTGCTTTGTTTGCCTTATTTCGAACATTAACGCACTGTTTTCCAGGCCGTAGGTCCGGGCTTACAAGTACCCCTAAGTCTCTTTCACAAGTCGACTTCTCTAGGTTGATGTTGTTAAGGCTGTATACATTGACAGTATTTGTTCTTCTAATATTAAGTACGCTGCACTTGCTGGTGTTGAATTTCATTTGCCATTTTTCTGACCACTCCTGCAGTTTATTTAAATCCTCCTGAAGTGCATTTGCATCCTGCCCTGAATTAATCTGCTGCCCTATTTTGGTGTCATCCGCAAACTTGCTTATGTCACTGTTGAGCCCAGTATCTAGATCGTTTATGTAGATTATGAACAAGAGTGGGCCTAGTGCTGACCCCTGGGGAACCCCACTGGTTACACGGCCCCACTCAGATTTAACACCATCTTCGGTGACCGTCTATGTTCTATCGGTGAGCCATGATTTTATCCAATTTAAAACTTCCCCTCGATACCATGAGCCTTGACTTTTCTCAGAAGCCTCTGATGCGGTACTCTGTCAAACGTTTTGCTAAAGTCTAAGTAAATAACAACGTAATTTTCGTCATTATTTACTACCTCGAAGACGTCAGCAGATTTCTTAGACAAGATTTTCCCTTTGTAAACCCATGTTGAGAGTCGTAGATTAATTTGTTTTTCTTTAAATGCGATCGGATGTTATTTGCCATAATTGATTCAAGAAATTCCCCACTGCTGACGTCAAACTAATCGGTCGGTAATTTGGAGCTGATGCTCTGTCACCCTTTTTGAATATGGGTACTACATTTGCCGTGTCTAATGATTTTGTAAATAAACTTACGAGGGGTCAGCTAATCTGTTCCTTACACTCTTTCAAAACTTGAATAACTCTGTTAAACTACACCTTGGCGTGTGAAAATCAGGCTACGAACTCATTTGAATTTTCAAATCTTAACTTTCCAAACTCAGCAATGACAGAGCTGTCAAAGATGAGAATTAAATTGATTTCAAGTTTCAGCATGGAAGTCAGTGTGGGCAGGGCAAATAACAGAGCGTCTCAACTTTCTACCCGTTGGATTCTCAAGATAAGGAGGCTGACACTTTCCTTCAGGATAATTAATTACTTTCGTAATTAACATCCATATAACAATGTCACTATGAACATCAGATTCTGTATTGAAATTATTGACATTTTTGTACTGAAGAAAGTCATTAATCAGTTGAAAGAACCTGTCAACTGCTCACTGCTCTGAAATGTAACGGCCAATCATCAAAAGGCCTCTGTGTGTGAAATGCTTGCTCACCACAAAGAGTGATTGCCATCCTACATACTATCTATAATTTACTTGATCCATTGCAAATTCAAACACTGATTAGATTTTAAGCATTAGCCTTAAGAAATTGATGTGAACCCATGACACTGATTTTGTAGCCTGATGAGTATCATAAATGTAATAGATGAAAATGTACGTAAGCTCTTGTTGTGCTAAGCCTGAGTACAACAATGAACAAGAATTAATAACTGTTGTCAACCCCCCCCCCCCTATGACAGGGTGACACGGAGTATCAAACATACCTGTGAACAGGATGGTGTCGTGGCTGAATGTGAGGTCGGGGCAGCTCAGACTCTTCCTGCCAACGCTCACAACCCCCTGTTGCTCCTCCTTTGTCTTATCAGGTACGTATTCAGTATCTCACACTACCCCATTAAGTTAATTTAACTCAGTTGAACTTTGTTGAATATATCAGTGTTGCCGTAATAGCTCAGTTGAATGCCTTATCATGTCTCAAGTGATTCTGTAACGTAACTGAGCGTCTTATGTGTTGAGTGCCACCCGTTTCCTTGCCAGATGTATTCTGAGTGAATCTATTTTGAATTCGCATCTCACTTCTGATTGCTCCTCCTGTTACGACCGTGTCGTATTTTTTCTATTTTTTTTATATATAACATGCTCCCATGTTCCATATTATTCCTGTAATGATGTGTTAAATTTACTATTATATATTCTAGTCACCTTACCCTGTGCTGTTAAGGTTTTAACTGTCATTATTTGTTCAAGGCCATCTTATTTCTTCATTTTGTATTGTAACCAGCATTCTTTGTTCTCTAACGACCATCTGCATCGTTAAACGACCCACCGGCGGGTCGCGTGGCGGGAGCCGACCTTATATATAGGACCCACCAACTTTCTTGAGTCAGTTCAGTCCTTTTGTCATACAGTACACATCCTTTGAGTGTCACTTGTTACTTAAACTTAATTTATTTGTGTTGTTCCTGTCGCCACCAATGTGGTATATCTATGTGAGTACCTATTTATGTCTCTGTTTGTGTCCATCAGTATTTGCTTCGTTGTATTCAAGTAATTCAGTGTTGTTTCACGTTAGTTAATTTCAGTGATAGTTTTTATATGTTTATGCAGTGTTAACGTAATCCAATGCTTTATTTTTTATTCTTTTGATGTTTCGATGTTTTGTATCACTTGTGTCTTAAAAGTTTCGATGGTGAATCAATTTGTTGTGACAGCCTACGAGGCTCTTTATTGTGTGAATATTTAATCTATTAAATTCTTAAAGGTTTACTCCATTTATTTTTATTCTTTTATTTTACTTCACTTTTTGTTTGGTTACGCCTAGAACCTGGATATCTAAGTAAATTAAGAGACGGCGTAACACTCCTCAGTCTTATTATGTGCTGTTGTCACTGCCGAGGATTGGGGGCCAGCTGCAGGAAATATGTCCGATGCAGGATGCCTTTAATAAGCTGGGATTAAGATCTGAGTGGGTGGCGCACCGTGCTACAGAATCATAGACCTGCGTGTGTAGCTGTTCACAGCCGAGTCCAGAGCCTTGACTTAGCTTCAACATGTGAGCCCGGCTGCAGTTTCACTGAGCTACTGAGTGTGAACGCCCTACTGTGTTTTTGTCCAAGTTGGCGTAAGCCCTGTACTCATCCTGACTGTATGTGCTAATTATGCTTGTGTGCACGATTGTGGATGGATTATTGAGAATATAACTGTCCTAGGTCGAGTATCGAGACCAATATTAGTGTTTATGTATATTGAGTGAACCAGCTATACTTACAGCTGATAGATGCTGGTGTATTTTTCCATGTTGTTTAATCAAGTAATCATGTGTTGCTATAAGTAATAACACCACTGTGTGTTATTGACAATTGTTTAGAGGGACCATCACTCTAGTGTCCCTGTTGTGTAATACTACCCTTCAGGTGGTATGATTACTGAGCATTGTAACTTCTAAAGTACGGCCTATTGGTCAGTTGCTCTTTTGTCTAAGTGTTACAGAAAAGCAATTATAAATTGAACCTAGGTTTTGTTGTTGTGAATGAAGATTCAAAGTGTCATCATATTCATATTTCCATATTCAGTATAATATGTATATCACCACTCATTCCTTGTGATAATTGCCATCCCTGAAAGTTCTCTTGATAATTCAGGTGCCTAACCTCTCGTGTGCCACTTTATTTGAGAGGATCATTGTTGGTGATAGATTCTTAATATAAAAGTGTGGGTGGTGGCTATATTAAAAATAAAATAATTTAACAAGTGTTTAATAGTACAAGACAATGGTGTGTTTTTCCCAGATTAACCCGCAGAACCGAAAATAACTAACTATATTGGGAATAATAACTAGAATAGTATATAACCAAATAAGATGAAACAAACAAGTAATTAAGGGAACTGAAGGAAATAAGTACTTTGAGAATAAGAAAAAAAACTTTGAAATAAGAAACAAAGAAACAATTAGAACAAAAAAAAAACAAGTAATAAACACAAAAGATTAAAAGTTTTCTCTTATTACAATGCCTAGTGTTGTTCAAACGATATACATGTATATGCAATGGTCATCTTGTTTTCCGTACAAAAGTCAAGTCATATTTCTCCTTTTCTCATTTCTACTACCCAACCCATGCAGTCCTACTTCAGGTGCTACTTTTCGTTTCCCAAGTTTTGCGTTAAAATCACCCATTATTATCAGACAGTCATTAAACTTCATGATGTATTCTCTTTTCTTTAAACCCCCATAAAAATGTTCTAAAACTTTATCCTTACTATCATTTGTTGGAGCATATACCTGTATCATGACTAACAAAACTCTAGCTGACACTGACCAGTATACCTAAACACTACTGTTCAACTTTTGATTTATAAGAATACAAAAACCTCATGGTTTTTCACCTGAATATATGTGGTAAGAATCATCGCCAATGCTATATGAACCTGTCCATTGCAGTGGGACGTATGGGGTTCACTTAACCCCATACGTCCCACTGCAATCTATTCGTTTCCCTACAAACTTTTGCACATTTACCAACCACATATGATGTCCATTGTTCATGTTCCAATCTTTATTTAGTTTGTTAATTTTTAAAATTTCCTTCGTGTTTAATGTCCAAGGCTTTGTTTTTCCCGGACAATACTGGTTAGATCTCGGTGGCCCACTACCCGCAAGCACGGAAGGCAATGCGGTTGGACCTTTAGGTGACGATGATTCAACAGGAGCGCCTGAGAACCGTTTATTGTGCCTGTCTCTGGTTTTTCAAAGGTAAGAGATGAAGTTAATGAGAATGAATTCCCCAAACTTTTTCTCCTCAGAAGATTAATTAAAGGCAAAAGAAAAAGTTGGGAGTGGGCTATGGGGTGTAGAGGCCGCTCATACCTCACTCTGGTAAAGAACCAGCCAACCAGACACACTCGTCTTTATATTTTTTATTATTTTAAGGTTTGAAAAAGGTCTTTCTCCTGATGTAACCGTATAATGCCAACAAAATCCTTTGTGCTATTTCTGCATTTGAGGAAGATCCATCCAGTAAATTTATGAAATGAAAGGCTTTAAGTGCATTCGTTGCTCCTTGAGGGTGAGCTCTCGGAGTACATGTAGTTCTAAGAAAAAGTTTTTACCATCATTGTTCTGAAAATCTCTACCACTCACTATGTTCACCAGATTTGTACATGTTGTCTTTTGTTATTTCTCAAAGTACAGGAAATCGAAATTGCCGCCAGACTTCTGCATTTGATCTAATCGGGTTGTCAGTGACATAAATGCCTGATCAACAATAACCTGAAAATTTTTGGTCTCGAATGATTTCTCGGCCGAATTCCATGTCTTGTCAAAGTCGTCAGCACCTATTGATGGATATTGATTTTTCTTATGTCTGAGTCGCCCATCTTTCTGAATTCAGGATCGGCGTCCATTTCTGATGCTAGTTCTATTTGTTTTTTATTATAATTTTCGTCACACCGGATAACATCCTTCTCACGTGTGTCTGGGCCGAGGCTCGAAGCTTTGACAAGCTGTTGAGAGTTACGCAGGATACCACCGTACCACGAATACCCCTCTATCTTAGTGAAAGTAAATTCATAGTTTCTGCAGAAGTCAATCAGTCCTTTCATATGATTGATAGCCACATCAACTGAATATCATTGACCTGGAGAATTTTACTCACTATGTTTACAGCAAACAGGATGTCGTATCACACAAACATTTCAATAAGAAATTCAAAATTTTGGAGTTCATAACAGGACAAGACTCTTGACCGTTGAATCGTCATATTCATCAGCCACTTGGAGTAAGGCATTCTTGATATCACTTGTCTAGTAACAAATTGCTTTTTCACTTTCTAATCGACATTCCCACCTATTTCCTGACAATGTTCTTCATTCACAGAGGGAGCATTCATTCAAAGAATTTGCCACCAATGAGTAGAAACAGAAAATAAATATAATAAATTTGCTCCATAATCTCCCAGTACCAACGCCATTTCTACACAAGAGCTGATCACTTGATTCACTGATTATAACCTCAGGTTTAATGAATTAAAAATTAACATTCCGTCACAGATCAACTGCAGATATTTTCAAATAAAATTTGGTCTCCTTGGCTTTATATTCATGGTGGTTCGGATATAAGTTTTAATTTGCCGCAGAGTTGAAAAGACTATTTCTGCATTTGCTATTGTGACAGGGATGGTAAGGTACAGTACATCCACAACAATTTGTGAACTTCGCTAAGAAGTACTTTGCATTAACTATGCAGCAAACAATCTGTACCTTTAGTAACTTTTTGAACTGAGTCTTTATGTAAGGCAACATGTTCAATTGAATGCATAGCTTCTTGAGATCCAATTCATGACTTTAGGTAGCATCTACAAGTTTTGGAATAACCACAGACGCCCTAATCGTCTTTTCTCAATCTCCTGTACAGTGGAGAAACCTTTCTGGCTGAACTGCCTGTCAATCTCTCCCTTACTGAACCGTCATCCGTGTAATGGCCCGTCTCATCAACAGAAGTATTATATAAATGGGTTCTTTACATTTGATTTATATTCAAATTCATCCCCTGTAATTTTCCACTAACTATGAGGAGGTCATGAACTGATCACGTGAATGGTAGCTGCCCAAGAGGGTGAAGCCCATATGTCAGCAACTATGTAAGCGTGCACCAAGTGACGCCCATTACTCAGTCTCACTCACTACGTAATATCGAACGGACGTTGATTCACGTCTACTGTATTTATAAAGACGCCGTCCCTTTCTCACCACACTCATAAATAGTGGAACTTATGGTTGATCTACACTCAGGAATTATATACATAATATTTTTTAATAAAACAAGAAACTTCAATTGGGTTTCGTTCTACTGTAAAGCCCAATATAATATATGTGAACCAACCTGGTTAACATTGGAATTAACCAGCCGTTTCATATAGGTGTCAGTGCCGGTGAGAGTGGATAGTACAAGATTGGCTCTTGATATGGATACGGGTGCTTGCGCGAATGTTTTGGCCTTGTCATCCTATCAGGAGTTACAACATAAATTCCCTCACCGTGATTTCAAATGGAGACCTACCGAGGCTGATCTCGAAGGAGTATCTGGCGCGCAGTTGAGCATTAACGGAATGGTGACGTTACCACTCAGATTCTCAAGACGTGGTGCTCCCTTCTACGCGGACTTTTATGTGGTTCAGCAGTTAAATTTGCCAGCTGACGGGTTACTTGGTCTCCCAACCCTTAGCACTCATAAAATAGATGTTCATCCACGTAATAATACTATTACATTTAAAAGTGTTTCCTACAGCGCTATGCGTCATTCTACACCCTTGCTCACCGCTAGGTCGAAAGTGTTGTCCACCATTCCCACTCAGAGGAAGGCGGAAAATGTGTCAGAGCTAACCCAAGACCTCACACCCTCACTTTCCCAGCGTGATTATAGCAGCAACAGTTGGAAGATCGTACCTGCAGTTTTGAAGAGTACTCTCCATTACCAGAATGAGGTTTTCCAAAGCAAATGTCGAATTACATGACGTATACACGGGCACTGATGTTGTATGTGTTGTATGTCTCCCGGAAACGTGCAAGTGGTTTGACAGATGTACTAGTTCTGAGTAGAACAGGCGTTCAACGGATATTAAAGAAAGGATGTTATTTGTGTGATTTTCTAGTATATCACAACAATGTCGAAGTACAGCCTACAAAATTCCCAATTGGTAGTATTGTTACGCAATCCCAACAAACGAGGCAAGAGAGGATAGATCAAACAGCGCCACATGTTAAGGTGATCGATCATCCTCAGGGCAAGACACGCCTTTTAGAGCTGCTTGCTGACTACAGAAATATTGTAGCCTTGCCAGGGGAAAAGCTAGGTCAGACATCCCATCATATAGCATTAAAGGAGGGAACAAATCCTATCTATGTACCAGCTTACAGACTACCTCATAGCCAGCGTGCTGTAGTTCAGTATATGGTGCAAGATATGTTGGATGAGAATGTTATTAAACATTCTAAGTCCCCTTTTAATAGCCTATTATTCCTCGTCCCGAAAATGGATGGTGGATGGCGCCCTGTTATTGATTTCAGAACGTTAATGAAAAAACGATCCCGGATAGGTATCCTATGCCTGTCTTGAGTGACATATTGCAGTCCTTAGGTAAGGATAATGCTGTATTTAGCAACTTAGATTTGCTTAGTGATTATTGGCAGATACCACTCGATGAGAAATCACGAGAGGTCACGGCATCTAGTACGCCGCTGGGTCACTTTGAGTTTCTCCGGATGCCATTTGGCCTCAGGAATGCCCCACTAATATTTCAAAGAATGATCAACACCCTGTTTGCCGGATTGACTGGTACCACAGTCTGCGCTTATTTGGATAATCTAATAGTAGTCAGTAAGGACGTTGATTCCCATCTAATTAAACTGCGTGAAGTGTTGGAAAAACTTTCCACAGCAGGTCTTAAGATTAAACTCTCAAAATGTGAGTTTTTAAAATCCTGAATCCATTTCCTTGGTCATGTAGTTGAAGGTGACGGCATACACACAGTAGATGATAAAGTAAAAGCTGTATCTCAGTTCCCGCGTCCTACCTCAGTTGATCATGTGCGTAGTTTTCTTGGCTTATCTGGATATTATCGTTCTTTTATCAAGAAATATGCAACATTAGCATCGCCCCTGACAAGGTTGCTAAGGAAAGATGCAATGTTTATATGGGATGCTGAACAAGAAAATAGTTTTGCGGCATTGAAGATAGCGCTTACCAATGCCCCTGTTCTAGCATTCCCTGACTACACTCAACCTTTCACCCTCTGTACTGATGCTGCTGGACTTGGGATCGGAGCTGTAATCATGCAAGAGGATACGCGTGGAAAGTTTAGCGTAATAGCCTTTGCAAGTCGTAAACTTATTGATGCTGAAACACGTTATTCGGAAACGCATTTGGAAAAGTTAGCCGTTGTGTGGGCACTTAAGAAATTCAAAGACATTATCTTTGGATATAAGATAACTGTTTTTACGGATCATGCGGCAGTAACTGAGCTGTTTCATGGCAGAAACTTATCAGGCAGATTAGTACGCTGGTATCTGACAATTCAGGAATTTGACCCCGAGTTTAGGTATTTACTGGGAAGGGCGAATGTTGTCGCCGACGCTTTGTCAAGAAATATAGCACCAGTGATGCCTGTATCAATGTTCACTCTTTCACAACTGGAGGATGAGCAACGACGCGACTCACTCTGGTCAGCAGTCATTTTTGCTCTAGAATCGGGAGAGGAGGTGAAACTGTGAAACTCCCCAAATTAATTGTTCCCTTAAGTCAGTTTGAATTACGACATAATATACTCCATAGGTCCAAAAAGACGCCAGAGGGTATTGTTTCTCAAATAGTCGTACCTGACACGTTGTGTGAAACGATTATAACATTGTTCCATGATGTTCCACAGGCAGGTCACCAGGGTCGTGACAAATGCTTGGCGGAATTAAGAAAGAAGTATTTCTGGAACACTATGAAGAAAGACATAGAATTACACATTGCTAAATGTTTGGCATGTGCTCAACATAAAGGATCAACAGGATCACCGGCCCCGATTCTACAATATCCTACACCAGACCGTCCGTTTGACACAGTCGCTGTTGATGTGTTACAACTCCCGAGGAGTCATCAGGGATCAGTGTACGTCTTAGTGGGGAATGGGACAACTGGCCGCCGCCATCTGGCCGCAGCCCAACTGGCCGCGGGAAACTCGCCGCGGCCGACTGGCCGCCGCGGACTGGGGGTAAACTGCAAACGCCTATTTTTGCGCTCTCAAAGGTTAGGTTAGGTTAGGTTAGATTAGGTTAGGTTAGTTTCCCGCCGCCAGTTGGGCTGCAGCCAGATGGCGGCGGCCAGTTGTCCTAGACCCGTCTTAGTGTGTGTGGATCATTTTTCTAGATTCGTGGTCTTGGTCCCACTAAAAGATAAAACGGCCGATGCAATGGCCTATGCATTAGTGATGAATCTTATATGTCCATATACTACGCCTAAAGTTCTTCTCTCTGACAATGGGACGAGTTCAAGAATCAGGTAGTAGCGCAAATATGTGCGCAATATGGAATTGAGCAAAGTTTTGTGACAGCTTATCATCCGCATCCTAATGGCCTTGTTGAGAGAACCAATTGCAAGATCCTGGAGATACTTCGCCCGATTGTGAGTGATTTGCAATACACATGGGAAGATTGGTTACCGCAGGTGGCAGCGTCTATTAATGGGTCGATTAAGAGCTCTATGGGCAAATCACCCTACTACATGGTACAGATAAACGTCTACCTTATGATGTACTTACGGATACGCCCAACCCTGTTTATAATATGGATGATTTCGCGGCAAAACAAATCAGTGTTTTTACGGATATTCCTACCCAAGTACGATCACATTTCGCAGCGTCAGGCCCTGAAATGATGGTCAAACAACATAAACATGCTAAACCTGTCGTGTTAAACGTAGGAGATGCTGTTATGGTAAGAGAACCCAAAAGGAACTCCAAGCTTTCGGCTAAGTTTTCGGGCCCATTCCGCATTATTGCCAAAGAAACAGGCAACAAATTTAAAATTTGGAAGCCTAATGCACAGATTGCAGATGTCGTGCATGCGGACCGTCTTAAGAAGACCCATGAGAATTTGTTGCCCACAGTTGATGATGATGTGATAGACACCTTTTACAGACTGTACAGAAGCAGAGTGTGCCTAATGATTATTGTATGAAATTTCGTTCTGCAAGTAGATATTAAAACGTGTGTAATCTCTTACAGAATGGCTTGGAACATCATCGTGTTGCTTCTACTGTGTTGTGGCACCGTTGTGTTGACAGACATGTCCACATCCGTCCTCAAACCAGGTGCGCTTGTTGCACCCCTTGGACGCGTTCTCGTAGTGGAGGAAGTGGTGAACATCAAGTATGAGTTACATGGACTGCTCCAACTTCCCCGTCAGATGGAAAACGTCGACGCGCAACTACAATCAGCATTGGACATCCTACAGAGTCTCAGTTCAGCTACTAATGTATCGACGATGGTTTCACAAACTATTGAACTTCTACACTTTCGTCTCATGAACCTTCGCAAGCTCCTCGTTGCTTTTGGAAAAAGCATACCAGCGTCTGAAGTTGATCTTGCAAAAGAAGTGCGTTCTCAGACACGACGAAAAAGGGGTTTATTTAATTTTGTGGGTCTTATCCAAAGCACTCTGTTAGGCACGGCAACGGCCTACGATGTAGCTAAATTCGGGAACCGAATGAACATTGTCGATCAAGCTGTATCTCAGCAGAATCGTGTTATCTCGCAAACATTCCATGCGATTAGTGCTTTAGAATCAAAAGTTAATGCGATAATATCGGAGTCTAACCATGTATCGAGGGTTGTTAATAAGTTACAGAAATCAATCCCGACGTTAGAGTGGCTCCTTTATTTCACAGAATATTTGCATGCTGCTGAAATTTAAGTTCAGAAGGTTGTTACCTTTAATAACGAACTAATTGACAGCATAGTAGATGCAGGGATAGGGCGTGTGGACGCAAAGCTTGTGCCTGTACAGACGCTTCTTGAAGCTTTACAGATTGCCAAGTTGCAGTATAACTTGCCTCCTATTTTTAATGATAATGAGGTAGAATATTATTACCCTCTGTTGGAGTGGACTCTCACGCACAGTGCTATTCTCATCCACATTCCTATGCGAGGGCAACATCAGTTTAATGCATGGCATTTAGAACCCTTCCCTTGGTTTGTTAACGACACACTGTATACTCTGGATAGGCCTAAAGAACTTTTCCTTATAGATGAAGATTATTCTTTATTGGCATTAGAGGATCCTGAGGTACTGTCACGGTGTAAGTCGTCATATCTACACCTACACGTATGTCCAGCCTACATGTTCGCGTTTATTCCTGCTGCAGAGGGAATATGTGAATTGGCAGTCATACAAACCAATGTACGCACAGCACTTGCGCAATGCAGCTATAGGCCAGTTAGTGTCAAAACTGTGTTTTACGCTCATCTCCACAATGTGCAGTATTTATTCTTTCCAAATACAACTACTGTTATTTTAAAATGCCATGATGGCGTTCAGCAGCTAGTTGTGAAAGGTCATTACAAGGCTCCGGATTATTGTGAAAGCACTTGTGGTTCATTACGGATCTTGCCGACTCATCAGCACTTTGCCTTAAATATAAAACCCAAGTCTGCTTAATTCCACTTCCTGTCATGAATTTCACTGTAAAGGATATTCAAATTGTTTCAGCGAAATTAAAGGTCATTGCATTCTTGAAGGAGACAAAATTTGCTGATTTGAATAATAATTTGCCATTTTATTTATCACGGGAATTTGTTATACCTGGTCTCACAATTCCCACTATTATGTTAATTTTGACAATCTTGTTTCTTTTCTGTTATTATAAGTCAGTGTCATCCAAAATGAAAGTTGTACATAACATTTTAACCCGTAAGACACTAAAGTATAGGACCCCTGTAGTAGATAAAACCCCTAAAGTAGTAGAATCCCCAGCTTAGTGTCTACACCTTTGTTTATAACATGGTTAGGGTTGTATGGGATGTACTGTAATCTGTGAGCTTATTTAGGCCTCACTGAGCTTGGCCAGTAGGTGACCGAGCAATGTAATGGCCCCTGTCTCATCAACAGAAGTATTATATAAATGGGTTCTTTACATTTGATTTATATTCAAATTCATCCCCTGTAATTTTCCATTAACTATGATGAGGTCATGAACTGATCACGTGAACGGTAGCTGCCCAAGAGGGTGAAGCCCATGTCACCAACAATGTAAGAGCGCACCAAGCCACTCCCATTACTCAGTCTCACTCACTACGTAATATCTAACGGACGTTGAACCACGTCTACTGTATTTACATAGACGCAGTCCCTTTCTCACCACACTCATAAATAGTGGAACTTACAGTTGATCTACACTCAGGAGTTATATACATAATACCTTTTTAATAAAACAAGAAACTTCAATTGGGTTTCGTTACTAAAGCCCAATATAATATATGTGAATCAACCTGGTTAACATTGGAATTAACCAGCCGTTTCATCCAAACATTTTGGAATACACCCAACTCCTCAACTATCTTTGTGGAGAGTTCATCAAACTTTTCTTTAGTATTGTGCCTCTGCATATAGCTCTAGAAAGCACTGACTGCTTGCATAACATCCCCTGCTGCTGCAGCGTTGAGCTGCAGTGGGGTGGACAGTTACTCTGCTGCACAAAAAATGGGAAGGGAAAGACCAAAGCCAAAGAATGTCTGAAATTTCTCCACCATGGCCAAAAGACCACTAGATCGTCGTGAGCATTCATCATTTTTAATTTCTTGGATAATGTTGAAAATTTCGCTGATACCTCCAAAGATTTTGTGATTAGTATACTTTCATATTTTATCTGGAATTATTTTTGCATGTTTAACAATGTTTTCTTAATAATTATGTACAGTACATTTAAAATAAAAAAAATGTATTAATATCCATATCTTTTTTTGTAAAGTGAATTCTTGATTAGTGATCTATTTCTTGGGGATTTTAGATTAAGTGATATAAACATTTATAACAGTTTTAAAAGCTGGTGCTACCAAAACTTGTCATATGTTGTAAGGGCCTGGGACTTAAGGATATAATCCCTTACCAGACTAATCAGGATCTTAATAAAGGAATGTCAAGGACCATGGTTTTCTGAGGAATAACAAACAACCGTTTGAGATTGACATCTCTTTACTATAAAAAAAAATATAAAACAAAACTCTGACACCACTCAACGAATATCAAGTAACAATTACGGGAGTCAAACAATTAATGCAGTGAACAGTTAATGGAGTCAAATAATTAAGGGAAGCAAACAATTAAAGGGAAGCAAACAATTAAAGGGAAGCAAACAATTAATGGGAGTCGGCAATTAAAGGAATCAAACAATATAATTAAACAATGAACAGATATTTCCTACGACAGTGGCCCTGGGGAAGGTTCCAGAACACAGTGATCCACTCTCAGGGGGAAGCGTCCGTTCAACCTCACTCGAGCGACAGCGGCCAATGTCTTGATAGAGCAGACGAAACACCGGGGGCACCGACGGTGGAGAGGAGCAGCGGTAGTGGTTGATGTCCAGAGAATTGACAGTCGACAGGTGAAGGTCTGGGAAAACAACCCACGAGTCCAGGACCTATGATGAGATCACAGCCAGAATTTGAGAACAGCGGGGTAGCTAGATAGTGACTGTATGGCGGCTGGGGTGAATCCGCCGGTGACACAGGTAGCCGCTGCCGTTCTCACCTCTGTCCAACCCCCCCACCTCCCCCAAGTGTTGGTCGCACCAGCGAACGAGAGAGTTAGCAGCGGTAACGAGCAGGAAGATCGTTTCAAACTTAGACGACCTTGCCTGAATTACAAAAAATAGGACATATTCCCAAGATGTGGTAATATTCACCACATTCAGAGCCGATGTCTCTTACGCTAGGGCATCAGGGCAGGTGTCTCTCACATCTGGACATGAGGGCAACTGTGTCTCACTAAGACGTCAGGGCAGGTGTCTCATTACATTAGGACTTCAGGGCAACTGTGCCTCACACTATGGCCTCAGGGCAGATGTCTCTCAAACTAGGGCATTAGGGCTGGTGCCTCTGACGTGACACTAGGACCTCAGGGCAGGTGTCTCTCACACTAGGGCCTCACGGCAGGAGTCTTTTACACTAGGTCCTTAGGGCAGGTGTCTCTTACACTATGGCCTCAGGGCAGGTGTCTCTCGTACTAGGGCATCATGGCTGGTGCCTCTCACGTTACACTAAGACCTCAGGGCATCTGTGCCTCACAAGCGGTCACCAGGGCAAGTGTCTCTTAAACCATGTTTTCAGGGCAGATGTCTCTCACACTAGGGCCTCAGGGCAGGTGTCTTTCACATTAGATTCTTAGGGCAGGTGTCTCTTACAATAGAACTTCAGAGCAGGTGTCTCTTACACTATGGCGTCAGAGCAGGTGTCTCTCACACTAGGGTCTCAGAGAAGGTGTCTCTTACAATAGGACTTCAGAGAAGGTGTCTCTAACAATAGGTCTTCAGAGCAGGTGTCTCTTATACTAGGGCCTCAGGGCAGGTGTCTCTCACACTAGGGCCTCAGAGAAGGTGTCTCTTACAATAGGACTTCAGAGCAGGTGTCTCTTACACTAGGGCCTCAGGGCAAGTGTCTCTTACATTAGGACCCCAGGGAAAATGTCTCATTACTCCAGGGCCTCGGGGTAGGTGTTTCACACTCAGGCCTCAGGGCAGGTGTCTCTCACTCTAGAACCTCACGGTAGGTGTCTCTCAGAGGGTCATGGTGCCAAGCAGAACACCGGATGCTGGCGTCAGTTTTTTCCGTGAGTCAAGACTTTCACAAGTGTCTTGATGACACACTTACTGTGGTGAAAAACACTTGTGTATTATTGCACTTTCAGTATTCATGGGCTCAGTATTTTATGTACAAATAATGTTGGATGCTAGACACGTCTATCAACACCTAAAATAACAAAATATCCAGCTATTTCTCAAAATAAAGATATTTGTTCAGTTGCTTTACTTTATTATATTCAGCCAAGAGTGAAGGTTAAAGCAAAGGAAAAAGTGAAACTTAAGTCCTTTAAGTTTCCCCCAGAAGTAAGACTTTTAGGGAGTTCCAGTTTCTGCCTAAATGTTCTGTGCCCAAATCTTCTGTGATCCTAATTATTAAGAAAATGATACATTTCTTGAATGAATATTCATAGTTGTTGTCGGTTAAACTACTGACCCTCGAGGTCAAATTATCACGATGAAGAAATATCGTTCTACTTCCACAGTGCCCTTGACCTGTTGTCTAGAGTCCCTACTGCAATTCTTGAGATGTACTTCTGGAATTTTTTCTATCTGGTCAGCATAGGCTGGAGGTCAATGCTACAACATGGAAAGCAGTTCAACTAACTAAGTTATTATTATCAGGATCAAGACTTCTGCTAAAGTTTCCGGATCACCTGAAGAATCGTCGCCCCAGAGTCCGGCAGGGCGACAATTCTTCAGGTGGGATATCCTGGGGCGACGATTCTTCAGGTGGCAACACCTGGGGTGACAATTCTTCAGGTGGGGTCAGGAGCCTCAACGGTTGTTAATCTTCAGATTAGTGGAGTCAGGACCCTCCAGTCAGGTAGGAGGACTATATAATAGTAAGTGGGCTAAAATTTTTTTAGTCATAAATTATGACTAAAAAAATGGTCGACTGATGATTATGACTCATAATCATCAGTCGACCATGGCACGCAATACCTCCCAAACTGTTGTCCTACCACTGTTGTGTGATGATTCCTCTAAAGTTATTCGGTGGCTTCAACAAAACAGACTTTTAAAGCGTGAAGTGAAGCGTGATACTTGTGATAACTGGAGGAATTGGACAAAATGCACCAGATCGAAGGATGGTTTTCTGTGGAAATACCAAACAAAAGACTGCCTGAAGTATAAATCCACCAAGTCTATAAGAATAGGACTCTTTTTTTGCCCGTTCTAATATTTCACTTCAGAAGTGGGTTCATGCTATTTATCTTTGGCGTGAGCGTATTGTAGAAACAGCAGCAGGCCGCCAGGTGAACCTTTCTGAGAAAACGATGATTGACTGCTGCAGGTTTTTTTAGGGAGGTCTGTATTGTGTACTTTGAAGCAAATCCAATTAAACTTGGCGGACCTGGGATTACCGTTGATATTGATGAATCTTGCTTCTCCCATAAGCCGAAACATCATCGTGGACGTGCACC